CAGGGCTTCAACGGCATGTCTCCACTTTGTCCTACTCTCTACGGTCCTCTTCAGCTGATCTCACGGTCGCCCATAGTTTCATCTCCTACTGACATGATCTCCTCCATGTCACTCTCCGACAAACGCCTAACTCACCGTTTACTGTCGGGGTTCCTCTAGATGACTGGCTTGGCGTGCAGTGTTATTCGACAGCCTCCTTATCGTGTTTGCCATCCATCTGCATTTTCTCCAATACATTTATTGAGCGATAGGTTTTTGTTGACTTCATCCTCATAGTTTCTTGTTGCTGATTTTTCCCGGCCATTAGATCTTTAATATGAAGCTAGCGAAGGCAGCTGTTGATAAAAGTCTGCAGTGACCTGTTAGAAATGTTATACGGGACGAGCATCGCAATTTTCTGAACAATACAGGAGGACTGACTATCTTAGTATTAATGTCGAAACTCCGAATTTCGTTCTTTGATGCTGACTGCATCCAGCAGATTACGAAATGGATTTCAAAGTGATAAAGATCTGTCTTGCCTTTCAGATTCTGTTTTTAACACCCTCATTCATGCTGTCGATTGCTGGTAGAACTATGGCGCCTGGTGAGAGAAGTACAGGAAGCGACCTGCTTTGAAATTCCTCCTATCAATAGTGATTGGTACTGGTTGTTGTCTGTCTTCTCTACGTTTACTTGAAGGCCTGTCTTCACTGCTTCTTCTGCCAACTAAGTGGTTTTCACCTGTACGTCTTGGTTTTTCTGTGACATTAGACATAAGTCAACCTCGAAATCCAGATATTCGAGAGTCTTCTTATCGGTTCAGTGTGTTCCTGTATTCTCGCTCCCGACACACAGTCTGACTCATAATCCGGTCGACTACAATTAGGAATATCATCCAGACTAGTGGGCTGTTTTGTCTCATCTCTATATTCGCGTTAAAGGCATTTTCGAGTTTTTTTTATTGTGGACCATCTGACATGTGCTATTGTCACATTGCTGTTGAATAAGGGTGATAAAGATTTCGTGCACTCCATAGTGTTGAAGTAGTTTTCAAATTACTTCTCGGTCAGCGCTGCTGAAGGACTTTTTAAAGCCGACAATTAGGCAATATTCTTTTTTAATTCCTTCACGTTTCCAGTGGAAC